GCTGAGGCACCAAGAAAGACTGGGGCTGAGCTGGTCCAGGGTATATGCAAACCTGTGGGTCCTGGGTTTGCATGCCTGTCCCAGGGATAGGATTTCGGACAGTAGGAGAAACATGAGGCTCCACTGGTGCTATGGCTATCAGGACACCCTTGTGCAGAGCAGGGACCAGTGGGAGTGTAGAAAGGCTCCATGAGCTAGTGCAGAAATAAAATCCAGCAGCAGGGCATGTAGATCAGTCCCAGACCGCTGGCTATCTCATGTTCTGTAACCAGTCATTGGTTTCTTCGGCTCTGAGCCAACCATAATGGCCAAGGAAGGAGGGAAGGTGCAGGGAACCAATGCTATTAAAAAGTCACAGAGGGGTAATGGGAAGAGGGCAGGGGAAGGGACACTGATGTAAGTCCCATGGCTGGATGTGCTTTTGTGATCAGTAATGGTGAAAGAACAGAGAGGGAAGGCAGTGTAGGAAGATCACTTTGAGTGCATAAAATAATCTACTGAACAGCAATGCAAAAGCATAAAATGCAAAAGTTATTCTGTGATTCCAGAATCCACAAATTCCATGACTCGGTGCTTGGATTGGCCTCTGTTGCCTATCTAGTGAGCCTAGTGCAATGATTTCAGCTGCACTGGACATGTCTACTTTAAATCAGATGAAGGCCCCTTTCACTAACAGAACAAATAGAAAACTATGTCGGCACCATAGTTTTTGTCCATGTCCATGTGCTTCAGACCTGAGATCAGACTGCCTTGAGGCAGGTGTGTTCACAGCGGCTATTGAGAGAGAGCTTGAGTGTGAGCAAACCCCAGGCCAAGCCTAAGCTTTCCTTCCTGGAGAGCAGGCTGGTTCAGTCTAGCTGAGGGCAAGGGAAAACGCAAATATGTAGCCAGAATTGATAGTCTTCATATTTGGGCTGGGATGGGTGCCTGAACTATGAAATGACAGGGTAGTATAAAGCTATCTATAACAAAAAAGGAGAAAAACAAGGAGTCGCCTTATAAAGGTCACCTTTATAAATTCTACAGTGCTAAGTGTCTGATTCTCATTTTCTGCTCTTTGCTGCTGTCCTGCACCCTCATTCCCTAGCTGGGCAACTTCAGAGAGAACTGCTATGCACATGATTTATCAAAACATGATGTTTATCTTAACCAGTTACTGATTCTAGTAATTGATCATAAGGGACCAGATCTCACTGGCCACTGAGGAGAATTTCTCTGAATGGAACAGTGTGTTTTCAAGAGCCAGCTCCTTTCAGAGGTAAGGGCAAAATCCATGTGAAGAGAAAGGAAAGTATTTTTTAACATTTGGGTACTTTTGTTGCTCATTCTTTCATTTTTGTTGGCCATACTATGATTTCAGTGGAACCACTGCTTAACACACATTCTGTAAGGTAGACTGTCTTGGGCTGTTTTTCCAAATATTTATCTTCATGTCACTGAAAGACACTTAAAATGCAAAACTCCATAAATTGCCTGATATAGACTGATTCAAGGTAAGAATTGCCAACAGTGCATTATTTTAAGTAGCACAAAAGGCTATGTCTGTGACATCAGTGATGTGGCCATCATTTTTCAGTCCAAGATAGTTGTCTACAGCCTTTGTTCTGGAAATGGAGGGAAATGGGTATGTCCAGATTATTGCCAGTTATCTAATTCCAAGACTCTTGAAGAACTGGGATAAAACTTCCCTCAGAGGTGCCCACCTCTCTCTCAAATGACCAGGAAATGAGTGTGAAAATTAGGTTAGACTTTGTGGCCAACTATTACAGGCCCAAAGATGTCTGACAAGAATCCCATCCTCATCATTTGCTTATTGTGAGCAATGATGGCATGCATATGTGTGTATGTGTGTGTATGCATATGAAAGTCTATGCACCACTTAGTACATAACTGTCTCTGGTTCAGAAAATAAATGTAACACAATAACTCCATGAAACTGGATTCTGATGTGAATGTTGTAGCTGTGCTAATCTAAACTGTGCTGCATTTGATGGAGATTTGTGGACTGTTTCCACTGTAAAAAGCAGATACTATTAGTGTTAAAATATTACTGTGTTAAAATACTACTTAGTGTTAAAATACTAGCATTTAAGACTGCTATTCTTATGTCCTAATTTTAGGCATCTACAAGATAGACTTCTACATCTCAGATAGCCCTTCCATAGTCAAAAGTGAGAAAGAGAAACTTCATGAGTGTGATTCACCTGATGGTTATATTAGCATGAGTTGAATCACACCTTAGAGGTGTACACCTAATTAAAGAAGTCCTGAGTGACTAGCTTATCATTAGACGTCCATTTTGTAGACATTGCCAACAGGAGAGAGAAATTTCACCTTCAGTGTTAAAACACTGAATCTGTTTGTATAATGTTGTGTAAAGCAGAGAGACAGCTGTGGTGAAACCTGCTCTTCAGATCATCGTGTGACCTTGCAAGGCTTCACATTTGGAGAAAGAATCTTTCATTCATAGCTGGAAAAATGCTCTAGAATAATATTAGTTACTACTGTGATTCAGTCTGAAGAGGGTGAATCAGGCTGATATTGACTTGATAGTTACAAGATCTTATCCACATTTAAAATAAGCAGAATGTGATAGGGTGTTCTATCTCAATCCCGCTGGTGGACACCAGGCATGTCCTTCCCTACTCAGAGATGTTCATTTCACTCTCATTCACCAGCATGTAAATGGAAGCAACCCAGCTGCAGCAACTGGAGACTTTCTTACCAGGTTAGGTGTGTTCCTGTTCTCTGTGCCTCTCAAGCTATGCTACCCCAATTACACCACAGGTGTATTTATTACCTGTTTGTCTTTCTATTACTCTGACAGCTGTGTAAAGCCAACTCCGTATCCATCATTCTCTCTTCACTAATCCAGCTTTCTAAACTACTCTGGAGTAGACTCTTTTCCACTTTTGCTCTTCCTCGTTCTCCTCAGAACCAGTGTGGTGTTCAGCATTGACGACAATCACATGTGAGGTAGTTCCTTAAAGTTCCCCCTCTATTCAGAGGACAGAGAAGGGCACTTTAACTATGCAATTGGTTTTACTTTTAATCCAGAGGTCTAAAAAAGGGCAAATGAATAATCTCTCTGGACTCACTATTTTTGTTCTGCAAACTACCGAGTGTAAAGGAATGGCTCACATGCACACATTTACAATGTAGACAAAAGAATCACAGAATGGTTGAGGTTGGAAGGAACCTTTAGAGGTCCCTATTATACTAGAGGTCTGTCCCTCCCCGTATTGTACTTTTAATAAGATTGATGACAGATCCTCTAATATGTATCTTTTGTCTCAGAAATCTGAAATGTTCCTTAAATAGTTATGCAAAAACATAGAGAGAAAATAATGTTGAAATATCAGATAATAATCAAGGATATTGATATTGTCTCTGAGATACACATTCTGTTACAAAAAAACTCCAGAAATTTGGCCAGTAAGCTTTCATTTCTCACACTTTTCTCTGGTAATAATTTGAGAAAGTTATTTGGAAAATCAAAATTCAGATAATCTAAACAACTTCAAATAATCAAGATTATTATTATAAGACAGAAGAAGATACTGAAAATGTAAATAAAGTGCAATTAAGATGCTTTCCTTTATAATTGTTTATGAACTCTGAAACAATTCTGTTCAGATTTCTAATAAAAATTAGTCAGCTGTATAAAACAGGTAGAGAATGTTTTCTTTGCTCTTTCCACCTCTTTGTCACTTAAAGTAGTCTTAAAAACGTAGTGGAAGTGCAAGACATAGTAATTATCTGACTACAAAGTTAGGTGCATTTTTCAGTGAAGATCAATATTCTCTGTGGTTACGTCATATACTGTTTTTGAAAAAGAACTATGTCGATAGAGGAGCTGTCACCTAAAAGTGAGATTTATTAGGTATATTTTGTTGGTATGAAATCTTGTCTTGCAGCATCAGAGGATGGACTGAAGGTGGGTTTAATCTCCCTGACATTTAGGTGACATTCATTTCATCTGGATACAAGCCTCTACGATGCATGGGTGGAAATGAATTCCTTTTTCAAACACATTTATCTAGGTGTCCCCAGGTAAGCTAGGTGTCTAGGCTTCCATTACAGTCAGTGGAGATTTAGGGCTTGATTTCTTCGCTTGAACATGTGTGTTTAGTGCCATTTGAGATTCCCAAGGATGTCCAGGACTTCCTCATGGGTCTGCCAGAGATGACATGGACATCTATAGATGACATACGTCATCTATGTCATTCCATAGATGACACTATGGGATATCCATGACTTTCTAAATTATAACCAGGAGTTCAGTTCCAGTATCCTAGGTCTTTTCAAATGACACTGGATGCCTACTTGAGAGCAGCTCAACAGTGAGCCACTAGAATCCAGAGAGTGATTCATCCCCATACAAAGTAAAGGCATGATTTGTGTCACTTGTATCACTCCATCGTCTCCACTGACGGTGGTCCATCCCATGTACCTCGTAGCAGGCATCTATGCTATTGAAGATGTCCCCTGGCACCCTGCCTGCTCCCGAGCCACTGCTGCAGAAGGGAGTAGGTCTTTTGTATGCCCTATATCATCCCACCAAGCCTATGCTGATGGCTGAAATATCCCAAGGGATTTCAGGTAGCAACAGATCCTTAGGTACTGACAATGGAATTGACCCAATCATATTAGCTCATCTCATAGACATCGGGGGAGTAATTCACATACCTAAAGGTATATGCCTGGTATCACATGAGATATCCCACTCTATCCAAGATGTTCACATATAACTGGCAGCTGTACCTTAGGACCAAACTGAGATTCACATACTTTGAAATGGAAGCTAGAGGCCAGGTGTGTCAAATGCTACCAGATGCCTCTCTTTAGACACTGAATTACTTTTTTGAACTTAGGTGAGATGAATTCCTTCCTATCCTAAATCTTGATCACTGATCTTTCCTGTACCCCTTTGGCAATGTGCCAGCACCTCTTTCGAAGTGAGATATTTGTGGATGGTTGTTCAACCGAAAGGAATTGACCTAGGAGTCGGGGTGGAATACCTTCATTCTCATTTTAGAGAGTGCCCCTTTCACCTCCTTATTCCTAAGGCTGTAGATAATAGGGTTCAATATGGGGGTCACCATATGGGGGGAATAAAACAGAGAGAGCACCTTGTCCACATTCAGACAATAGCTGGATTTAGAATGTATATAGATGAATACTGCTGTCCCATAGAATATTGTCACTGCAGTGAGATGAGAGGAGCAAGTGGAGAATGCTTTGTATCTTCCTTTCGCAGACCTGATTTTGAGAATGGAGGAAATGATGAAGCCATAGGACACCATGATGAGCAGAAAAGGCATCAGGATGACAAAGACAGCAACCATAATTATCTGGAGCTCATTCCAGTAAGTATCCCCACACACCAGCATCAGCACTGGCTGGATCTCACAGAAGAAATGGTTGATCACATTGGAGCCACAGAAGGGCAAAGAGAAGATAAAAGTAGTGTGCCCAAGGGCCACAAGGTTGCCACATATCCACGAGGAAGCAGCCAGTTGTATGCATACCTTCTTATTCATGATATTCAGGTAATGCAGAGGGTTGCATATAGCTCTGTAGCGGTCATATGCCATAGCAGCTAAAAGGCAGCACTCAGTTGCCCCAAAGAACAGAAAGAATGACAGAATCACAGAATGGTTTAGGTTGGAAGGGACCTCTGGAGATCATCTAGTCCAACCTCCCTGCTCAAGCAGGGTCCTCTAGAGCATATTGCCCAGGATCGCATCCGGACGGGTTTTGAATATCTCCAGCGAAGGAGACTCCACTACCTCGCTGGGCAACCTCTTCCAGTGCTCTGTCACCCTCCCAGTGAAGAAGTTTTTTTCTCAGATTCAGATGGAACTTCCTGTGGTTCAGTTTCTGCCCGTTGCCTCTTGTGCTGCTGGGCACCACGGAGAAGAGGCTGGCCTCATCCTCTTGACACCCCCCTTCAGATACTTATACACGTTGATCAGATCACCTCTCAGTCTTCTCTTCTCCAGACTGAACAGGCCCAGCTCTCGCAGTCTTTCTTCCTAGGAGAGGTGCTCCAGTCCCCTCACCATCTTTGTAGCCCTCCGCTGGACTCTCTCCAGTAGCGCCATGTCTCTCTTGTACTGGGGAGCCCAGAATTGGGCACAGTACTCCAGGTGAGGCCTCCCCAGGGCGGAGGAGAGGGGCAGGATCACCTCCCTCCACCTGCTGGCAACACTCTGCCTCATGCACCCCAGGATACCATTGGCTTTCTTGGCCACAAGCCCACGTTGCTGGCTCATGCTTAACTTGTTTAACCTGAGGACTGGAAGAACCACTCCCAGGTCCTTCTCGGCAGGATCACCTCCCTCCACCTGCTGGCAACACTCTGCCTCATGCACCCCAGGATACCATTGGCCTTCTTGGCCACAAGCCCACGTTGCTGGCTCATGCTTAACTTGTTTAACCTGAGGACTGGAAGAACCACTCCCAGGTCCTTCTCGGCAGAGCTACTTTCCAGCACGTCACCCCCCCAGCCTGTACTGCTGCATGGGGTTGTTCCTCCCTAGATGCAGGACCCTGCACTTGCCTTTGTTGAATTTCATGAGGTTCCTCTCCGCCCAGCTCTCCAGCCTG